TAGTTGTAAAACAAAACATTTCTTTCATCCTTTATTATTGATGGTGTCTGCTACCTCTGAAACTATCCTTTCACTATGTAGCTTATTTGCTGATTTGATTGGACCTCTGTTTGTTCACTACGGCTGTTTTGAAATGGCTGTGTAATGCGGGAAAAGACGTCCTTGGGAGGACTCACAAAATCATGCTGAACCCGAACTTTAGGTCAGTTTATCTCGCATTAAAAAGATCCAAAACGCACATTTTATAATTTTTCTACTTTTTAGTAATAAGTAGGAATTTTATTTTTGATTTATGGATGAAGAAAAGTTTGTGTAGCTGCTGCCGTGTTTTAGGATTTTAGTCGGAGTCATACACTGATATTTTTTGAAAAAAAAAACACTAATACAGTTGGGTTATTTAGATTTGAAAAGGAGATATTCATAAATAATTTTTTCTTTCAAGTGCAGAGGTTTGCATTAGGGCTAGAAATCTGCGCCAAATTGACAAGGCGAATCCAAAATACGTGAAATTACATTTTCACATAAGAATGAGTCATGAGTGTAAAAGCGCTGCTCTTGACTAACATTTTGGACAAACACTGCCATTAGCAAATAACTTTTAACATCCATTCATTTACCGATCTCTTTAATCTGCACTAATTTTTCATCTTAACATTTTCAAAAAAAAAGTAACATTTAGGAGTGTCGAATAATCTTAAATGCCTCCAGCATTTTGTAAACTAGCGGATTCAGTGCTATTAAGTGGCCGTGCATTCAACTTGACTGCAGTAAGGGAATATCACAGAAGAATAAATTATTGCTGCCCTCGAGCTATACGAGAGGCCGTGCCAAGAAGGCAATCTAGTTGGCCGAATGTGCACACATGGAAGGTGGAAAGAAGGGCGAACTGAATAGTTCTGTTCATTAATAGTCAACTTTTTGTTCAGGCCACTTCCGTTCATTGGAACTTTTGAAGACTCACCTTTTCATTTACATGCCGCTGGAGATGTGCCTCATGCTCATCTCTGCCTCAAATCATGCGAGAAAACCAATCAGCACGTTAAAATGGAGCTTCACCAACCACAGCATCACTAGTTTAAACCACATACAAACAATTTTCCTTGCTTTCTGTTCTCACTTTCACTCTCAATCCAAGTGTACGTAGACAATGGAGAGGAAGGAAAAGCACTCATCATCATACGCCATCATGACTACCAACTTCACCATCGCCACACCACAGTCTCGCCACTTCGTGCTTCCATAAAGGTCAAATACGAAGCTCTCAATTATCTCCACCATGCTGCAATGTGCCAGCATTCCTTAATGCCACTGCTGCATTTCTTTTTCCCAACTTACCTTCCTCCTATGCTCCTCTGTCTCCTTCTGCCTCTCATCTTGATTCTCTCCCTTCTTCTTCTTCTTTTTCTTCTTCTTCCTCCTCCTTCTCCTCCTTTTCCTACTCCCCTTTACTGTCTCCTAGCCTGCCCCTCTAGCTCCGCCTACGCCCACTTCCACTACCCTCACCCAACCCCATCTTCTCCCTACTACTACTACCACTACTCTCTCCACACTCCACACTCCCCATCCACTACCGAATCCAACACCACCATCTTCTCCCCTTCCTCCCCACCACCCAATTCGCTCCATCTCATCAAGACCACACTCCCACCACAATCATCAGTCCTCCCCCTTCTCCCAATCCACCCCACTTCACATCACCTTGCCTCGCGTCGTCTCGCCCC